AAGTTAAGACTCCTACTATAATCGTAATATCTGCCCGCACAACAGTGATATTCCGCGCGACAACCACCAATTTTTCGTTAACAACACGCGTTTGAGTAATTCGTCGTATTCTCATTTTGCAACATACGTAACTATTTACAGAGTTTCACGTTATTTCCCACAATTTACAGCCATTATAGGAGTTTTTTATTAGATTGCTCAGTTTTTGCATTCTACACATTTTCATTCTAGGTATAATCGATCATATAACGATCATATAACTCTTCTTCTACGACGAAAACGTGAAAAGCGAACACTTTTATCATTGAGATTAATGGAAAAACTTTTCACTTTTCACGTTTCCGCCTTAAGAGAAAGATTACATAATCACTATTCGAATCTAATTAATGTGAGATATCAAAAGTAAAATCTAAATGTATCGTCAAACGAATCTCGGTATTACTGTTTCTGAATTTAAGTTTGGTAGAAAATATAACGTTTATTTTCTCAAGAATAAATACCATCTTAGATAAAATGTTGCATTTATTTCAATCAAAGAAAAACACTCTTACGTCATAGCACTTAAAGCGAAATTTGTCTGTGTAATGAAATTTCTCTGGGATTTCTCTTTCAGGCGGTATAGATGGTAAATTTCGACACTTCGAACAAGATACCGAGTACAAGCTGCAGTTGAACCTCAATCACGGATTAAAGTTCCCTCTGACTAACGGAAGCCTCTACGGACGGTTGCACAGCCATCAGAACAGAGGTGAGTGAGCGAGAACGGATGTCAGTGAGATTTAACGATGCGAAAATATTTCGATCGCTTGATAGTTCTCTCTCCCGGCCTATATTGTTAATTGCGACGTTTCGTGCGGCTTTGTTAATGCACCCATCGAACGCTCGTCACGATCACGTTAGAAAGTCCGAGACGAAACCATCTCTCGCGCTCGTCTCTGTTCCAACATCCACTATCATCGCTACCAGATATATCAAACATTACAGGTCACTGTAACGTGAAAAGCCGAATGTTTCGATATTCCCGAAAGCGGCTTTCACAAATCGCAACTGTCTCTTTTCTATTACGTTTCATTCGTCAAGTCAAATTTAAATCGATTCGATGATAATTTAAAAATCGCAATTGTTAAGTGCTCCAAGCGAAATGATAAATAATCTAAACTACAATACAAAAATAAATTATTAAATTTTCCAATATGAATGTTTATAATTACTTAGTGTAATGATCAGTTTTATGTTCGCGTTCTTATATAAGTTCTGCTGAAGTATTTAAAATATCAGCTAGATACAAATCTGAAAATAATTTTATTACGTCATCAAAATAATTAGGATTTCAATTAATTATTAGAATGTTAAATTTTATACAGCATTGCTCATCATGCTTGAGATTTCTATGCAATTATAATTTTGATAATCCAAATTATTTTTATATCTATATAGCTAAATTTTTAGGTACTTTAAAATCTTTTTTTTTTCTTTTGTACAACAAAAGTAAAATATATTTACAATTAATTTAGAATTGTTAATTTATAATTAGATTATTGTCAGATTTTCTAGTATAATTGTTTGAATTATTCTTACGTTTTGCAGCAAAAACTGGCACGATTACTATGGGAATTCAGCAACATTATCCTAAAACGCAACCTATGAATGAAGACGGCAGCTATGCATCTCTGCCAGCAGAACTATCGTCCTTCACGAGTTCGACCTTCGAACCGCGTCAGGATAAAATTTCCGAATCGCCGAAGAAGAATCCAGTGGAGCAATTATCGTCGGGATACAGCAGACGACCGAGACCAAACGAGAAATTGCACGAGCTGGCTGGTAATCGTAGGAAGATCGGCAGCACTGATGTCTTCGGGCAGAACATGGAGAACCTAGTACAATTGGAGGATTCTGCGAATAATCGAAAAATCAAGAATCTGGACGAGATTCGCGAAGAACCATCCAGGCGACACGCTCGGAGCGTCCTCGGTCTGGAGAAGCTAATTCTCGGGCTGGAAAACAACCTTCAAGAGCAGCATTATTCTAGAAACATTCTACGCAGGAATCAAAGCTTCGACCATGCCAGGTGCCACTTACTTGTCGATTCGCCGATTGCTCTCGCGTTTGTATCTTTTAGCGTACCTTCACTTTTACCTGTGCCATTAAGCCACCGTCACGATACGCGGCAAGTGTATAACTGGAAAGTGTGAGACGTGAAGTTTCCTATAAATTATTCAAAATGCATATTTTGACGTACATCATACGTGAAGGATGACCTACAATCGTCTCAACTTTTCTTTTTCACGACTTGTAACATAAAATTCATTAAATTGCGATACATTTTTAGATACATTTATTAATGTATAATATTTTAGAATATATATTACGTATTATTAATGTTCATAAGTTTTATAACTCTTATGAACATTATTTAATATTTCAAGTTATAATATATCGCTATCAAAATATCTAAGTATATTTTTCATAAATTCTTGTAAAACTAATGTAAAATAATGCCCTTTTTCTTTGATATATAGATATCATCGACCTGTGATCAACTCGAGAACTTATAATTTAAAGAAAGACGATCTCTTGAGAGAGAATCTTCATTTAAATCTCCATAGACAAGATAGTCATTGCGAAGGATATGATAGCTCCGATGATGAGAGCTGCGATCTGGAGAATGGCGACTTCGACACAATGAGCTCTTGCAGGAGCAGGAGCAGAAGCTGTTGTTCCGTTACCACGGTCGCCAATGATGATTTTGAATATTTTCAGCGTAAGGGAACCAAGGTAATTGTATACAATTAAATCTTGCCGTCTTTCAATAAATTTTTGAGAAATATTTTGAAATTTATCCTGAAGCAAATAGCTATATTAAATTAATTAAGTTCAATATTATCACGTCAAATGTCTCATTTTTATTCGTAATTAGACATAATTTATCTACATTTTATACTGTCTTAATTTCGCGGTGTAAAATAAAATTTTTTTTAGAATTCTTTGTAGAATTTTTCAGAATTTCTATGTAAACTTTAAAATTTTTCAGAATTTTTGTAATAATTTTATAACGTTTTATAAAATTTCTCAGATTTTTTTTTATACAAAATGGAATATCTTTAAAAAATAAATCTAAATTTTAAGAAATCTAAGGAGCCCATTAACTTCTAACAACTCTAACGCTTACAAAATAGGCCCCTAAATCTGCTCCGAAATATTTTTTTCAAAGAATTTTTTTATATATGAATTCTGAAATATTTTTTAATTTTTAAGATTTTTCATCCTTTTTATAAGAAAATGCTAAAGAAAACAAAATCTAAAAAAATTAAGATATTTTTCAAAAATCTTTGTTTAAAATGTTTTATTAAGAATTTAAAATACGATAAATTCTTAAAAGTATTATGAGAATTTTTTCATCAGGGTAATAATTAATAAATTCAATATTTACCGATAGCGGTTAGAATGGCCGGTTTTCTCGAGTTTAATGTTAAACGCAAGAGCCGGAGGTACTTTCACGGGAAAATGCATCGTTCTAATAGAAAAATGTTCGCTGACAGAACGTTTCGTCGGCCTTTTCGCGGCGTTAAAGGCGCACACTCTTACGTAATATCGTATCGTGAGAACGTTCTGTTTTACAGGTGGAGTTGCTGCCCTCGAAGCGAACCGGCGAGGTAAAGGTCAGCATGCGATCTTTCACGCCGCGTATCATAGAGAACGGTACGGAGGATCGGGAGGACAAGAAGTGCGGTAGCAATACGAAGCTGTCCGACACGAAGCCTAGCATACAGTCCTATCATCTAAAAACTAAAAGGATCGCGCCCGGTTATTCGATGAACGACCTAGATAAACTGACTGCTAATAAAATGATGCCGAATCTCTCGATGGAGAATCTGAAGACCATCCTAAAGAACTCCGACGTGAGTTACCTCGATAATGGCGACATATGCAAACACGATATTGGCGGCTCGGTACCGGACTTCAAAAAGATTTTCGTCACCGAGTTTATATGAAATTGCCACAACAATTACATAAAGACTGCATCGTTTGTCCTTGTGATGTTAGCAGCGGCATGTCAACAGATGTAAATGATTTACTTTGTGAGATCTATAGTCTATAAATACCTCTATACTAACTAAACTGTAGAAAACCGCAACGAATAGAGAAAAAGAAGGCATACAAATACCTTGTCCTTCTTGTGCACTGAAAACAAATTGCTCGTTTGACTGCATTAATTTAATCCGTCTTTATTTCTTTCATTATTCAGAAAATATATATATTTAAGTAAAATCTAATATGTTTGACTTAAATACGTACATTCTTCTTTGAAAGGAATAAAAATGAACTAAATTAATTTAGTCAAGTAAATTTTTTTAATGTGGTTTTACCACACTAAAAAATTAATCGGCAAATTCCTGACAAAGAAAACTGTACAATCTTTGGCTCAGAGTGTCATTGTTTAAGAATTGAAACACTCTTCGATAGCTCATTCCAGTATACTATTAGGCTCACTGACTTTGTACAGCCGAGAAATATTATTCTTCTTAGCATAAATGTATGTATAAAAAATATTATTGGAAATTCTTTCATTTTTTGAAAGATTGTATTGATAATGGAATTGAGAAAAAGTACGTAAATTAGAGCATTAAGGTGATAACAATCTTAACAGGGAAAGTGATTGATAAATCCCTCCATCAATCAAGTTGGACTTTGAAGGCACAGTCGAATTTTTGAATTTTGTGAATTTTGGTAAATTCTGTAAGAAATGAGTAAAAACAATACAATATAAAATACTTACGATAAAATACCTTACTATGATAAAATAAAAACTCATCAAAATTTTCATAAGTCAAAGATTTTTTTCAGATTTTTATATCGGAACAATATAAAAACCTGCACTGAAACTCAAAGATTCAGGTTGCTGACGAAAGATGTAAAAATTTTTAGTCGAGGGGTATCTATAACTAGAGCACATTGTGCATATTTTTAAGATACGAAAAGTCGTTCTTTTGTTTCTGTAACGCGAAATTTATATTTTTTTATTACATAATCAGTTTTTTAATTGTATCTCATTTTCGGACTTGTTATTAATTGTAAGCTGCGATTAATATGTTACAGATATGTAATATACGTGCAATTATTGTAGACGCTCACACACTATTGTGCCTATTTTTGTAAAAATGCTGTAAAATACTTTGACAATATGTAGCGAATTTATCTAGAAGACGGGGAGTTGATTATATAAACGTTACTTGTAAATATTTTGTATATTTGTACTACAATATTTAATATAGTAGTTATGTACATGTATACAATTATCAGTCGCATGCCACGACTTAATCCAACTATAATATTTAATTGTCGTGGAAATGACGAGCAAATTGTATAAATTAATCGTAAATATATTTTACCTCTGGGTTTTTGTGTAAGGAGATCGAATTTTAGTTTATTACCTTTGCATATATCATTTCGTGGCAAGACTGAAGATACTAAACTTAAAACCTCTGCCTCAAGTTTTCTTTATTTTTGTACTAAAATATTTATTTCATCTTTATATTTAATATAATATTATAAAGATGTTAAATCTTTAGAGTATCTTTTCTAATGTCTCTGAATTATCAAACACAATACTTATCACGGTGATCGATAATACTGAAGCAACATTGAAGTTTCAAATAAATATAATTCATTTTATTAAACTGATTCCCTTACAGTTCGTTTCTAAAGTTTAAAACACCACTCTCTCAATCATTCAGTTACAATCGTAATCTTTTGGAATTGGCGACAATCATAATTATAATTATTATTGGCTTCAGCCTCTCGCGCATAACCTTTCTCTATATATTAAATACATAGAGTGAGTGTAGCTCACATCGCTGGCAAGATTGAGCATAGCCAATGTCGCATGAGCTCATGCGACTGATTAGAGATACGCCTTCCATCGTCTATTGTCGCGTGATAGACTAATATGACTAATCACCGCCGTTGTCGTAATTGTCTAATTAAATGGTCTATCCTATTCTTCCACGATTCATTATGCACACATTGACTAGTAATCCACAGTTTGGCATCGTTAATTGTATTTTTATCTACGATTGCATTAGTCAGTGGCGTAGAAACGCGGTGCGCTTACTTTAACATTAATCCATATTTGCTAACTATGCTACGGTACGTATAATTGCTTACAAATATCGGCGAAGAATCTTTTTCTTCGAAGATTAAATGTGGAAGATTAAAGATGGCTGTATTTTCATCAAATACATAGTGAATATTCTATGTCAATGTTAACAATTAACAAATTAGTAATTTGTAAAATTTTATCTTAAAAACATTTAATTTCTTTGCTTCTCACAGTGCACGTATACTGAGAGAAAAAATGATACTACAATTTAACTGTAGTTTACAATCATTTCTTGTGTCGTCTATATATATATTTTTTTTTTTTTTTGAGCAGAGAACTATATAATATAATTATTTTTACAAACATTATAACAATAATAACTATAAGAATAAAACTCCTGATCATAATTACTATCATGTAATTATACATGGATAGAAAGAAGGTTTCGCTGAGGTAAAAATTTAGCTAAATTTAAAAATAATTTTGTTTGTACTATGAAAATAATTATGTAGAACATTCGAACCAGTTGCAAAAATGTTTGCAGCATTGCCATCAACGCTTAAGCATTCTACATAATTATTTTGATGGTTTAACAAAATTATTATCAGATTGTATCAGTTAAATTTTTCAATATTTTAACAAACGTTCTTTCCATGTAATTACAAAATATCAAACATTTTTCTCTCAGTATACATTCGCTGCTATTATTATATAATTCAATTTGATTTCCGCTCAAAAATGTGATACATATTACAGTAATGCTTAGCTTGTTAATACAATTTGGACTTCGACGTTAATGAGGACATGTGCGTGCCTTCTTTAATCTCAAGACTAGCTTGTTTGGAGTTCTTCAAAGATACTTGTAACGATACTTGCTTCACGTATAAACTTATGAAAGCATTCGTCTCCCAGAACCATTAAACTCCCCTCATGCGGATCTAAAAATAGTGTGTGCTCGACGTCGAACTATAATACACAGCCACGTTAACCGCGTCAAACTGCGCTTTTACATCCTACTCTCGACGTCGCATAGCAATCTCAATACATCGAAAAATATCCATCGAAACTTGAATATGCATGTAACATCATTCATCTACAGATAAAAAACGGAGTGAGTGTCAACTGACTATTTACTGTTAACACATTAATGAGTATTATTTTTTTAGTAATAATTACTTAGATCAATAACACTTCAGAAACTGAATACAAATTCGTTTTCAAAATTTTGCTATCACGTCATAATTTTAAGAAAAATGACGTCAAACCAGGTTAAAAAAGAATGATTTTAAAGGTTTCTACAACGTTGTAACACCAACAGCTAATTTATTTTTTTAAACTTTGTTAATGCTACGCGAAAGGATCGACTTTTAGTTTAAAATGCATTTTATTTCACATTCCAGTATAAATTTCTTTTTATTTTCTAGATTATAGCAACTTAAAAATCGTATTGTATTTTTCATTTCAATTTCATATCGCTTTTTGATTTAGTATGATTACATTGTACTATATAATCATACTTTCCATATAATTAATTATTTTCCATAGTATAAAGATGCTTTTTTTATCTGTTATATGAGAACTATTTTTAAATCTCTATATCTCAAAAGCAAAAAAATGTACTGAAATGAAACAGAATGCATTTTACTACAAAAAAGTAAAAGTTGATATTTTTGTGCGACATTTACAAAATTAAAAAAAGATTTGCTATCGATACTACACAATATTAAAATAAAGTTGAAACTCAAATTTTTATCTTAAACTAATGTAATAATTACTATCTTCTAATGACTTTGTAGAGATAACTAATTCTCATGGGAATCCATAAAGTAATAATAGCGTACATCATTATTTTGTCCTATAAAAAAATAATCCAAGTATCATTTCCATTCTTTCGAAAAATTGTGCTAAATCCTTGTATAGACTCATCATATAGATCCATCATATTCAAAGAGTATTACGACGTTGCGACTCGCGAATTCTACACCACTGCTCAAAAGTGATTTCATACTGGCTGGCACTTTGGTACAGGAACGCGCGAGAGATTCTCACTCGCGCCTGATCGATCCGTCGATCAATGAGTGACGTAGACGAGATCGCTGCCACGGAAGATCGACTCGATCACGGACTTCCGGTTGAATTCACCACCCTGGGACTCCATCGCGGCTACCAATCGCTGGTATCGGTTCCAGGCGGTCACCGACGCCACTTCCTTTTCCGGCCGGTCCTTAATCTTCTCGTATACGTCGCTGCCACTGTCGACCGCAGCTTCGGAAGTCTGACACACAGCCTCTGCATCCGGTATCATCTACGAAGTTGCGATCGAATGATTCGATATCTGTCATTGGAATTGTTCATGATCGATGGCGCGGGAAATTATCGCGCTCATCGTTTTATTATAATTTCCAAGAAATTCCCTGGAGATTGCGAGATTTTTATTATTATCCTTTTTTTTTTATCACGCAGCTATAAATATCCCATCTCATGTAAAATGCAACATAAAGACATTGAAATCAAAATGATATGCTATTACCGACGAATTAAAGGCAGAAACGATCAGGCAGAAACGAACCTTGAAAGGTCAAGAAACGTCGAGGTGATTTTTTTCTTAAATTTGATTAATGAGATTCTTTTACTTTGCAAAGGCATTTGTCTTAATTTGTATCCGATTGGCTCTCAATCGAGCGGAAGGAAATCCTAAAGGGTTTACGCGAAAGGAGCATGACCGATGTTTGTTGAACGCATCGTAGACACGTGTAACGCTACCCTAAACCCCGTGTCTGAAATCAATACTCGAATGGCATTACACTGTTACTAAGGATGCCCATCCCCATCGTCAGATTTTGCATCACCCCTGCACCACTTTAACCAACTTGGAGTTCAACGGCCAACACGAGCCAATTGCCAATATGTTATTGTAATCATATTTTCATTATTATTACACAAAAATAATGATTTTGCTGGAAGATCAAAACTTTTGCTGGAACAAATCTAAAAATATTTTTATTGGAAACTTAAACTGGTTGCTGGTATATAAAAACTTTTTACTATTACTTTACAGTTTTTCAACTGTTTTGATGTCCAGCAAAATTATTTAGATCTGTATGAAATAAAAATTTTAGAGTTTTCAGCAAAATGATTCTTTCTGAGTATACATATTTTATTATGTTTACTTAACTTCTAATTATCAACAGCTCACTTGGTTTTATAGCGGTTAATTACAATCATTTACAACAAATTACACAAATAATTAAACAGAGGTAATAATATTTACGTTGCTATTAATGCAGAAATATGGTTCACAAAATTGACAGGATAATAGTTGCTAAAATTATTCCCTTCATTCA